AAACGCCCATTTACTATAATTATAATTAAAAAATTATAAAATATAGTAAATTAATTCTATTTTTAGACGGGGTGAGGGTGGGAAAGGTCTGCCCCGACAAAACCACACTTAATTGTTGTTAAATGCAATGAAAAATAATATATAATTTATACATTATTTTTATAAAAAAAAGATTATATAATCAATTAATATTATAAATTCATCAATATATTGATATATTAACAAATTATTTTGTTGTATTTTTAAAAAGAAATATAATTTAAAACAATTGTTTAATCACAAATTATAATTATAAAATAGTTTTAAGAATAGTTTTAAGATTTATAATAATAATAAACAACTTATTAAATTAGTTAAATTATATTAATTTATAATATTTAAGAACAGTGCTTAAAATAGGTGAGCGACTTTTAAAGTATTAAGGCGAAAATAGTAAAAATTATGAAGCCCCTGTTTTTTTCTAATTTCAAGAAAATGTTATTGTTTTTTTTGTTTTATAAAACACAAAATTTATTATTGTTTTTAATAACACAAAAACTTTTAATAACATTTTGTAAAAATCGCAATTCCAATTAATCTAATTAATATTTCAAGTTCCAAAAAAATCAATAACTTTTCTTCTTTAGCTTTTCTAAAAAGTGAGTAAACGGTTTCTAATCGACAAGACAAAACAAACCTGGCAGTGATCTTTCCTTTTCTCTGTTTTTTTATTTGTTTTATTCTAGTTCCAGTTTGAAATAAATGGTTTTTGATTTTAGTAAATTGAATTAAAAAAACTATTCAAAAAAATCAACTAAAATTAAATTTTTTCATAATTTCTAAAATCCATTTGTTTAAGAATTCATCGTGATTGAAGAGCTAATATTCATTATTGTTGTTGCAGTATTTTTCGATTGATTCCATTACTCTATATCCACATTCAAAACCATTTGGTTGAATGGATTTTAAATTTTTTTTAACAACATTTATATTTAAGATTTTCTATTTCCTCCCTTTTTCTTTTTTGATTTTCTAAATTCACCCATTTTTTTAAGATTTTATTTTTTTTCTCGAAAATCGTTTTGATTGGCTAAATATTTTTTTCTAAAAATACTTAAATTATGATTTGAATTTTGCTCGGGAAATGGTCCTAATCATTAGGGAGTTTTACTAAAGTCAGGGACTCACTTTAAAGGTCGCCCACTCATTTTAGGCACTGTACTAAAATAAAAACATTTGAAATTCATTTATATGTAATAATTGAATCTTTAAAAATAAAAACAAAACAAATAATTAGTGTTGTGCTATACATGGTTTGCTGTGTTTATCTTATTAAATACATACACTTTTAAACATGGATCACAGCATTTCAAAAACGTTCGTGTTGTTTTATTCTGTAGCAAAATTTAACAATTTTCGTTGTTGTTTAGTGTAGTACAATCGATAAAACTTGTTCGATTTATTTATAGTTAATTATTTTAATTAGGAAATACTGCTCTGAGTATTATATTCAACAATAATATTAAAAACGCAACAAAAGGAAATACGACTAAATAACACAAAGAAAGATTTGTGTAGCATGGGTTATTAAGAAAGGTTGATTGTTGCCATAAAGACATGAACCCGCTATACAAAGAATAATTATTTTTAGGCTTTGTAATAAAAGCCCAAATTATTTTGAGAACAATAATAAAGAAACCTTTCACTTCTGGGAGTTATATTATATTTGCAATTGAAGAAATTTTGAAATGGTATGTTCATCATGTCACATTATTGTAATAAATATCATTCATGTTATATTACCATGTTATATAATTGAATATATTTTCAATTATTTTTATTTAATTAGACTCTATTATTGAAATTAATATTATTTTTTAATAAAAACAGACAATTCAATTGTAATGATATTTAAAACCAGTAACATTGTCAAACGAAATAAATCAATTATTCTTATAAATAAGATTTAAAAGAATTTTGGCATAAATTCTTTCTTCAATTTTTTCAGAACGCATATTGGGTCTCAATATTGATTTCAAAAAAGAGAAAGAAAGTTCAACACTACATGAAGTGACTGCGATCAACTTCATTTTTCTCATCGCTTCTCGAATTAATGGAAAATGTCTTTTTTCTTCTTCATTGAGCAATTTCCAAAAGAAGAATGTATTCATAAATACAATTGGACATTCTTTATTAAACAAGTTCAACATTTCTTCTTTCCATTGTCTGTACTCAACACGACTTTTTTATAAACATATCTTTTTCAATTTTTAAATTTGATTAACATCACTCATTGTTGATGCGTTATCAGTTTCTTCTTCCATGGAATTTTTTTTTCATAATGGCTTGATGAATGTAATTTTTCAACATTAGATTTAATATCTTTGGACATTCGAATTTTTGGGAGTTGAATATGATATACAGTGCCATTTTTGTATATCCCTTACACTTTCGAACTCTGGTTTGGATTTTATAACATTTTCGAATTCCTTGACTTTCTTTTCTTGCTCAGAGTTATACCGGTAATACCTCGGACGCTCCATATTGTTAGGAATCAAATTTAACGATATGTCAGTTTTTAAATCAAAATCATTTCGTTCGTACAACTGTTCAAAGTGTCCAAAATGTGTCAATTTGAAATCACTTTGATTAACTTTTGTTGATGTTGAATCGTTATCATTTGGCATGACAGTCGTGACTTTGTTTAGAGGATCACCAAAACGGAAAATTATCAACTTTAGAAAATTTTCTGTTATTGAAAAACACACTTTTTTAAGATTCTTCATTTGATCTGAATTGTTAACTTCTCTAATAAAAGGTAATTGTTCAAACTCCTCTGTGTCAATAAAACTTCGAGTTTCAAACAAATGTTTGATCAGATCAAATATTCTTTGTAAAGCGACCGGAAACTCCAAATCAACACTTTGCAACCAGTCACTGATGACTCTGACTTTTGAAAACATCATTTCACAAAAGAACAACGCGCCCACAAAAAGATTATTAGACAATTTTGGAACACCGAGTTTGTTTTCTTTGACCTTTTCAGTAATTTTCATTTCAAATCTTTCCAATTCAAGATAATTGCTATATGTGTCAAAGCATTCAAATAAAACTGATGATACAGAAGCCACAAAGTTGAAACGCGTGTTGCTAAACGATGGCATCTTGAGCAATACATCATCAATTTTATTTTGATGTATATAGTTGGTCCAGCCCGTTCTCAAATGGTCTTGTGTCAATTTTTCAAGAAATTCTTTGATCAAAAGACCTTCATTAGATTCAAAAGAGTCTTCAAGAGCGATGTCGAGCCTGTTGTTAAAACAATAATTGGACTTAAATTTTGACTGTTTTTCAGTATCCAAATGTGCAATTAGTTTTCCAAAAAAACATTTGGTTCCGACTTCATAGTGGTGGCTCCATCGACCGTCAAACAACGACAATTATTGATATAAAGACCAACATCTGAAAAACATTTCATTATTCATTCATCCCAACCAACTGCATCATGTTTTCCATAAAAAGAACGGATTTAAATATGTTTTTTCTTTGGAGGATTCATCTTTTCCAATAAATCTCACAAACAATGAATAGTGTTCGTCTGTCCCAGTCTTTGAAAAATCGGCCATCAAATGATATTCGCTTTGTGTGTTAATCAACGGTTCTGTTTCTTTAATGGAAACTTCTAGAAATGTTTTCATGTGGTTTTCAACCGTTCTTGCACAACAATTCACATCAAATTTCATCATACCTACATCGCGAATATTCATGACAATTTTTACAAATTCCAACAATAAATCGATTTGGGTTTCTGACAGATTCATAAAACCACAATACATCGATGCTAATGTAATAAAATACTTTTGTCTTTCTTTACCACCTTTAATGGTCGTTGTAATTTTTTCGACATTTGTACCC